GTGTTGGACGAAAACAATTGTCAGAACTCTCCACGCCGTTGTCGGATACAAATAATTCTCGGAACTATCTCCGTCGCTGTTGGAAAAAAAATTAATTCTCGGAACGCGTCACGCAGCTGTCGGACGAAAACAATTCTCGGAACGCTTCGCGCCGCTATTGGACGAAAACACTTCTCGGAACGCGTCACGCTGCTGTCGGACCAAAACAATTCTCGGAAAACTTCGCGCCGCTGTTGGAGAAAAACAATTCTCAGAACTATCTCCGTCGCTGTCGGACAAAAACAATTCTCGGAACGCTTCGCGGCGCTGTCGGACAAAAACAATTCTCAGAACTATCTCCGCCGCTGCCAGACAAAAACAATTCTCGGAACGTTTCGCGCCGCTGTCGGACAAAAACAATTCTCAGAACTATCTCCGCCGCTGCCGGCCAACAACAATTCTCGGAACTCTTCACACCGCTGTCGGACAAAAACAATTCTCAGGAGCATCGCCACCGCTGTCAGACAAAAACACTTCTTGGAACAATCTCCGCCGCAGTCGGACGAAAACAATTCTCGGAACTGTCTCCGCCGCTGTTGGACGAAAACAATTCTCGGAACTCTTCACATCACCGTCACATGTGTCATATAGATTGGATCTCAGGCTGATAGTGGGGAGGGGAATTACTATATATAACGGTTGCCACTCCTGGAGTAATCCATTGCCATTCTGAGGAGATCAGAGCTCTAAATGTCAGAAGTGGGGAAATGAGAATTGTTTAGAGATTGAGAGAGTGGGGGTAACCTCTGAAGGTCCTGAAATTCTTCATTTTAGCCGAAATACAAGTCGTGAATTGTTTTTGAAGAAGTGAAAAATGTCAGAATGTTCAAAGAACTACTGAATAATCGTGTTTGTAGACGCCGTGCTCCGCATATTGGACAAATACGAATCAAAGAAATAATCAGATGTGTTGAGCAAATTGATTGTCCTCACGTGAATAAAGGTGAAGTGGTACAATGTAAGAAAGGAAGTTGGGTATTGGTGAAAACAGGTTCAAGAAGATACGATATTCAATATAGACATACAATTTGCACTAACAAACATCCTCGTTCAGTGATCGATCATCTCAACCTGAGGAGACAACCTGCATCACTTGTGAGCATTGCTGCTAGCAGTCTGCTGAATTGGGCAAATACAGGAAACCTCGATGAAATAGACATCAAATTTGCTAATAGAATCTGTGAATACAATAAAAGGATCAAATTATTTACATTCAGTGCAAAGTCAGACTTTTATCCCCTACCGGAATCTGATGACGAAGAAGACGAGTGCCCGATAACAGTCTACAGCCGAGACGCTCAAAGGAAAGTGCTACATTACTGCGAGGATCCTGGATGTTGTAATTATCCAAGGTGGTTTATTTTTCGACCGGCAGCTCCTATCTCAACGGTTTATTACAGGGATCAATTATTAACAGGGAATTAACTATCGTAATATATCGTAATATATTCTGAGAACACTTCTTCCTAGAACTGTGCGACGGATTAAGAGTGGGGGATGCGTATGGGGAAGGGATATGAGGGAGATCACGTGACATGACTGCGCCTTATAAAGTGACGCTCTGCAGCAGTGCTCTCCAATCGTCGCAGCTATCTCAGAGAAAGGATTTTAAAGTGAATAATCCGCGATAACAATTCGATACGAATTTCTGTGAGAAGAATTTTGACGGAATAAAAAAAGTGAGTAGTCTATTACGATAGTTTTGAATATATTCAATATAAGTTCATGAGACTTGAAATATTTAGTGGGACATTTTTCATGATTTTTCCAGCACCATGAGTGGAGAGAAACGTAAAGCATCAACCTACGCCAGCATCAACAAAGTCGCTCGATTGGAATTTGATTTTCAAACGAAGAAAGTCAAAGATCTGGAAATCAACAAGGCGTATAAAATTGGAGAACTTCGCACTGCTCCTACGGCTTGGGGAGAAAAAGTTCTCGCCCTTCTTGACGATGCCTTCTTCATCTGGTTGCCTAAAAGGATCTCTGATCGACTCATTGACAACCCAGAGGAACTTGAGGATCTGAAAGACGATGCCCAACGTGGAATCGCCTTCATTCGTTTCCTGCCTGGTATGTACAGCCCCTGCGAGGTCTTTGCAGCTGATGAGAGTGAGACAGCTTAAGATTCAAACCATAAAACTTATCTGTAATCTATTCAAAATGAAGTTTTAATCAAGAATCTATCACAAAAAAATGGATATTACTGTAGAAGAAATGTAGAATTTTTTCACCAATAAATGATAAAAAATCTTACTATGGATATTCAATTCTTCCTGAAACACTAAGAAAAATATTCCCTAGAAATTTCTTACCTCAGTTTTTTAACTATTATTATTGCAACAGAACCGAAAAATTAATGCATCGAAACCGGCTGAATTTGGAAAAAAGAAAAGTGAGAAATTTCTGCTGAAAATGGAAACATTACTCACTCTAAATTGGTTACGTCAGACTTATATATTATAATAAATTATGTAGGAAGAGAAAAAAAATGAATCACGTGGAAAAAGTATTTTTATTTTTTAAAAACTGCTTTTCAGCTATACAAAAAAAAGTTTTACAAAAAAAATGCATCTGAGCAATAGAGGTTAAGTACAAAAATATGTCAAAAAAAATGAAATGACGGAAAAAAACGCCTCTGACCTCCAGACATCTGTACTGCACCTGAAAAAAAGAAAAAATAGGTTAGATAGTGAAAAATTATGAAAACACACACACACACACACACACACACACACACACACACACACACACAATACACACACACACACAAACCCTCACCTACAAAAAGCCGTTAGGGTAAACGGCCACCTGGAACAGAAAGGTCTGGCCGTTCTCGATGACCCTTAACGTGGCAGGCACCCCAGCGAGGATACCCCAGATAGGAGCTGCATGCCCGTTCCAGTACTCATTGATACAGTGGTCAGTGATGACTCTGATGTGCTGGAGCGGGATGTCATCCCACCATTTTTGGGGAACGAGAACATTGGGAGGGCCTCCTGGGAGCCGTACGTACCCTGCATACTGCGCCGCCATTTTTTATTCCTATAGGATTCAATAAAAAAATTAATTCGTACCCTAATTCTTCTAAAAAATTCTAGGTTTTGAATCTCTAGGTTTCTCATCAAATTCAAAAAACATATCAACCCTCAAACACACAAAATTTGATAGAAAATCCTAGCGAAGTCGTTAGGAAATTCTATTGGAATTCTATTAGAATTCTATGAAAAAGTCTATCCGTTCTTGCCGTTTTTTTCTAGTGGAAAAATATTATGAAATTTTCATTTCTATTGCATTTTTTTATCAACATTTTTCCTATTAAAAATCATTAAGTAAAAATTTTCCAAGTTTTTTCGCTTGGCTTCTGTGATGCTAAGCAAAATCGAACCCGGCAGAAAAAAACTTGAAAAATGTTCACTCAATGATTATCAATAGAAAACATCTGAGAAAAATTCAAATTCTATGATATTTTCCCCCATAGAAAAATTGTGAAAAACGAGTAGAATTTTCTATAAAAATCCCAAAAAAATCTTATTGAAAATCTTCAAAACTGTTAAAAAAATGTGAAATATGAAATTAGTTATTTCAATTCTGAATAATGAGGATGAAAATCTCAATTGATTAATGAAAATTCTCTGTGGATCATCATTGGATTTCCTAGATTATTGATTACTTGATTGTGTAGATCTCCGGTCCCTGTGTTATCAATCGTTTGAGTTCAGCGGTTCATCTCTAGAGTTTCCGCTTTACCAATTAATCAGTAAAGCAGAGTGCGTGATGATCCACTGAAGTCGGTGATCGACAATGCAGGAGACCGACGATCTACATAACCCTCTAATCAATAAAGTAGAAAGTCTGCAGATGATGCTCACAACAGAAAATGCAGGGTCGAAATTCCAGATTTTTCGTAGATATTTTTTTCAGAAAGTCCTTCCCGTCTGAAATTTCACTCCTCCCCCATATTTAAACACTTATTCCTGAGAAAGATATCTACGAAAAGGGTCTGAAAAATCATACCCTCTATTAATCTATTATGCCGGAAAATTTCATTAATTAATTGAGAAAATTTGTCATAATTGTTCGTAAAATTTGTCACTCAATTGAACTGAATCTTCTAAGCTGATCACAATACACCCGAAATAATTAAAAAACAGATTCAACACTACAATCCACCAAACCGATGAATTATTTTGAATTTCCCCAAATTCACTGAACCACTGATATATACCATACTATAATTCACAAAAAAACACTGCTATACTTACTCTGACAATCACTTTTTGAAATTAAAATGAATCCAAAAAAACTCCCGCACTAACGTGCTCTAGACAATGATCATCGGCGAACTGATGAATATTTTTCTTTCAGCCCCTCAATACATTTGACATCTCTAAATAAATTCATGGCCATGTTATCTCCTGGACAACTGGAGTAAACACCACGTGCGTCTGGACAATGGCTAAGGTGTCAGATTTACTCCTGCACATTATCTCGAAGACACTACAACTCAATCGTAATGATGAGTTTTTTTCTCGCACGCGAATAATGCGTTGATACGTTTTCAACGCCAAATGCCGAACTTTTTTCTGTTTGCAGTTTCTTATGGGGATGGAAACCCACTCTGAATACCCGAGAAAATCTTGGACTATGATTTTTTTCTGAAAAAATTCACTAAAAAGCGCTATATGAAAAAAGAAACAATTAACAGCATTTCAAAAATCAGAGGGCAGCACTCATACTTACTCTGCATTATCGACAATTGATTCTCAATAGCTTCATCAATTGCATCCACCAGATGATGCTGTAATGAATGAATTCAATCCCCCCCCCCCCTCCGCCCCCCCTCCTGCACCGCCTGACAACTGCTTCGTATCCACCGCTGCAATGGCCCCCCGCCCGCCTCGACCCCCCTCGCCCACATTTGATTTTGCAGCGCCTTAAGCATACTACTATGCTATTTCCCGTCATATCTGCCGGAAAAGATCGGATTTTATTCCCAAATGACGACAGAAAAGTGGCTTATTTCATTCCTTGGATTTTTACTGTTTTAGAAGATCCTCGGAATGACTTGATCCACATTCCTCCCTTTCATTTACAGAGAAAAATCGAACTCAACCAGCAGTTATGACGGAAAATATTGTGTGCACTGAGGAAGGACAACAGGACATGCTAACCCGCGTGCTTCTCACTGAATCAAAATACGCTGTAGCGTATTGGCCAAGGAACATTTTTTACTCCAACTGTCCAACACCTCAGACCGAGTGCTGCCAAGTATCTGTTGACGAAGTAACCACCCAAAAGACCATTTTCTGGAAAAATGGTGCATTTTTCGTTGAACAAACATTGAAAGAATACAAAATCAATGAAAATAAACCAAGTCAGGGCTCAATAAAAAAATCCGGAAGTACTAAAGCAACGGCATTCGCGAGCAGTTTTTGTAATCACTGCCTAATATCAATCTAAACTCTCATGTTCAGACCCGTGCCAAGAAAATTGATTCTGTCTTTACTGACTTTTTATTGACGCTTGGGTTGGTTGATTTTCATTTATATATGTTTGTTTTTTCTAATGCTTTTTTACGCAATATATATTTTTCGAGTAGAGTGTCTTCCTCATTTTCAGAAGCAACCAAAGAAATATGTTCCTTAGCACAGTGCTTTTTATAAAAACTAGGGAAGACGCGCGCATTCGCGCGCGCTAGCCAGTTTGCATGAATTAGTGCATTCATTTGATGCATTCATTCGATATAAAATAGAATTATAACTCGATAGGATTTTTTTTATTTGTAATTTCCGTTTGTACATTTACATTTACTTTCTCACCACGGAAAATACGTCGTGGAATGGTGTTTTTCAAGTCTTCTCCGTTAGTTTTATTCTACTTATTTTCTAAATAGTGTTATTGATTGGGTAAGTGATAAATCTCATTTTTTAATTTTTGGTTCGTGTCTTGTTCCATCGTAGTGATCAGGTTGGGAATACGTCATATATATTACGTCGAACAAGTGATTTTGTTCAATTTATTTTCGTTTGTTTTGAGCTGTCAATTATTTCAATCATCTTGACACAGTAGGCCATTGATTTTCATCGAACTATTCTTTACGAATTTGTCTCGTTATTCATCATGTCCGACGCCGATAATTCTCCAGCTCCTCATTGCTCTAATACTGAACCGATTGATGATGGACTCGAGGTTCAAGATCCACCAGTTGCAGATCCCAATGTTTTTACCAATCTTGATCTGCTGACATCATCTGCATATTTACAGAGCATTTCTTCTGCTACAACAAAATTGGTGTAAGTGTAGCTATTAATTTTCATAACCAAATTTTTACTTTTTTTTTGTGAATTTATTATTACGATTTTTTTTTCTTTCTTTAGAGAGATCATCGGCATTATTCATCTTGTCAAAGAAGCTGAGACTGTAACCTGTAAAAATGGTGCAGTCAACGATGTCTGTACATTTTTCGTTCACAATAATGATGGCGAAATAGTTCAGTGCGTTATGTGGGGTGAAATCATGGACAAATTTCTTGATCAGCTTCTAGTGTATCATGTAAGTTGATTTTTCAATTTTTTTTTTATTTCCGATTTTTACCGATTATATTTGATTTTTTTGGGGAAGGTGGGGTAAAGTAGAACGTTTGTTATCGACTTTTAATTTTTTTTGCTCATTTCTAATCATTTTCATTAGGTCATTCACATCGATGGAGCTTATCCAAAATACGTGAAGGATCAATTCAACTCGGGAACGACTCCTTATGAATTGGTGCTTCAATCAAACACGACTGTTACTGATTTGGGGAAGATTCAACTCCAACAACGCTCTCAATCGACCACTCCTGAGATTACTCCTTTGATTGATCTAGCAACTTGCAAGAAAATTGCTGGTGAGTTTATTTTTTTCTTCTAATTTCATCATATCTTGAAAAAGTATAATTTTGGGACTAAAATCTATCTCGATGAGAAAATCTTTGGGAATGGTGTATTTCAGCTCAGTTTTTGATTTTTTATGAAAAATTTGGTTATGGACATCAATTTTTGCATGAAACCTATGAGAAAATATTTTTGCATATTCAGAAATTTGGTTCTGTGTAATTTGATACTGAAAATTCATGTTTTGTAATGAAAATTTCGAATTGCCTAATTATTTAAATCTTTTTTTACTTTGGATCTTTTTTCGTTCTAGCTTTAAGCGGATTTGTCAAAACTCCATGGACTGTGATTGAAAAACAAGTCGATAGTACTGGCAATACTTGCTATGGATCCATTGCTGCTCAAAAATATTTCGTGGATGTAAAAATTTCTGATTTTCCCTCTGATTTTAGTTCCCCATTCGTGAAGGGACAGCATGTCCAATGTGTTGGATCAGTGATCAGAAATGGTGATTATTCCATCCATTATTCCCATTTATTTCCAAATTTTCAATTCTTTTTTCTGATTTTTATTATAATTCATTTTGTTTTTCTAATTTTCAGGTAGTAGGTTTTTCTTCTGCGTTCAAGCTCCATTCTGTATCACTTTGGTTGATCAGACTGTCGCTACTTTCAAAGATCTTCTTCGTTGTCAGCCGTTGATGATTCGAAATCAGGCTGATTCTAACAATCGAGGCGATGCTACTGCGGTTCAGCCCAAGAAATTGAAGAGAAGTGAAATATCCAACAAAAGATGCCCTAAAAAAGTGTGTTTCGTCATGATTTCGGATTTTTCTCTTTTTACTTTGGGTCTAGTTCTTCGCATATTTAATTTATTTTTCTTTTTCAGGATTAAGAAGTTACCAGTTATGGCTTTTGTTTTTCATTTTTAGTTAGCCAGAACAATTTGTCTCTCCGAATCATCAACTACTTTTTGAAAATAAAAATAACAAAAATAGATCCAAAAAAAAGAAATCATAACCAGAAGAATATCCAACACTTCTAAATCATCATAATATTAATTAAAGAAAGTTCGAGCGTTTGAGATTCACTTGAAATTTTTTCGATAATTTACTGTTTATGGACCTAGATATCGACATTCTATGTTAATGACCAGCATTGTTCTCTGTCTCACTCCGATTTAAATAACTTCGTATACAAAAAATTCTTTAAACCCCAACATAAATCTATTATAATACAGATTCAAGATTAACAATCTTTGCTCGATTAAAAATGAAATTGATAAATAATAATTTCTCTTTTGTTACTAAAATTTATGAAATTTCAAGATGTTTCTCTTTTTTTCCTCTTTTTTCCATCTTTTTTTCTTTTTATAACAATAATTTAATGATATCTCCTCCTGATTGTTGCTAAATTACTGTCAATAAAGTTTTAAGTTCATTGCATAATTTTGGATCATTCTCATCTTCTTTCCATTCGTTTAAAAATAATAATCACAACATTCGTTACTTTTTATATTTTCTCACGTTACTAAATTTTTATTTCAGTATATTTTCCAACAAGTATTAATTCCAAAATAACAACTTTTCTGAATAATATCATATTTCGTCCAATACTAATTCAGTTATTGTTTGAGAAATTCCTTAACTCTTCACTGACTCCATCAATTTAATTCTGTGAATTTTTGTAGGGAAAATTTAATAATATTTAGTTCTCAAAATTATTCGCATTGATCGTTGCCTTCGTACTCCAAGTTTTGCTTTTCTTCTGAAATTGATAAAATTTAACCGTCAATATTTTTTTTTTCTTGGGAAAATGAGGCAAAATGTAATGGTCTTTAATCCTCAATATCTGTGTTCATACATAAGAGATATTGGTGATTAAAATCAACGATAAATATTTCATTTTCTCCTCGCCTCTACTACTTGAAGTTAGATCTACTTTCAGCCAGGAATAATATTATAATGAGATTTCCTAATAATTTTTTGACGATTAATTTATAAAAATATGAAAATTGATAAGATGATCACAGTTAACTTCAAATTCTATTACAATTCGTTCATGATAATCAATAGAAATCAAGGGAGTCCATGTGAATAGATTTTTCAATTTTTCAACCCATCAAAAATTAGGCGTCATTTAGTTTTTATTTCAAATTAAATCCTGTTTACTCAATTCCCAAAATTAATTACCAATTAACCTTTAATGTCAATCATTAAATTTTTTTTCTCCATTGAAGGTATCATTCTGGTCACAAAATCATTTTCTATTTGAAATTGTTTACCTATTAGCTCTCTTTTTCTTCTGTCTATTGATTGCTGAATCATTTTGATCATTATTTGCCGGATTTTCTTCAGTTGATGTTGATGGTGTCAGTTGGTTATTATTGTATTGGTAGTCCTCTCTCTATCTATTACACGTCTCTCACAAATCAATCTATTCCCTTCATTGGGGAACCTTCTCCAGAACCATACTTCTTCTTCAAAATTATAATCAGTATCAACGATTTGGGCTCTGCTTAGTATTTCTCTCTCCATCTTTTCCTTCTCCTTCTGACAGTCTTCTGAAGTGACACTTCTTTTATTTTCTTCAATAAGTTCCAATCGTAATTCAATTTTTTTTTATTTATTGGGATATGGGTAAAAGTGGATAAATAAATGTAGTAACGCAATGAATACTTTTAACTTGAACTCTTTATTATTGGCACGAGGAAGGCACGACTGTACTAGAGGACCGTTGTCCAGAGACTAAATTCTAACTATTTGAAAAACCTTTACTGAAGGAAAAGCAAGACAAAGTTTATGACTCCAGAGGACAGAGTTTCCTTTGAATTTCTACATGTGGTAAGGATTGCAACGCTCTCGAGTTCGGAGCACAACGGATCATAAATTAGTCCTTTTCTGGGGACTTTCCCCAACACGTCATAAACCTTGTCGAGTGATTTTTGAAGAAAAACAGAAGAGCTGTGTTCAAATATTTCAACACGCCCCCTCAAAAATTAATCGACTTACATTATTTTACTTTAATTAATCTAACTAATTTTCTACCTTCCTCGTGGGTCCTGGGAATTTACACATGGCCCAAGATCTGTTGCTCAGGGGTCAGGGAAACCCAGTAAAACCTGCCCAGACCATTTCTATTATTAACTACTATATACATTCTTATTCTATTTTTATTTTATTCAATGCCCAATTTTGGTCTTAATTCCAGAAGTTTAGTTGGCGGTAGTGGCTTGGTCAATGCATCTGCAATTTGATTACCTGTTGAAATATATTCAAGTATTATTACCTTTTTCTCTACCTGCTCTCTGGAGAAATGATACTTAATATCTATATGTTTAGACCTCTTGTGACTAGTTGGGTTATTCGCTATGCTAATACAACCATTATTATCTTCATAAATAATAATTGGTTTCAAGATCTTCAAATATATACTATCAGCTAGCGATTTAAGCCATAATGCTTCTTTCACCGCTTCAAAAAGAGCCATATACTCTGCTTCTGTGGAAGAAGCGGCTACCGACGGTTGTCTTTTCGTATTCCAGCAAATTGTGCATCGTTCAAATAATTTAAACAAGAAACCTGTGGTGCTCTTCCTATCACTTCCTACGTCACCACCCCAGTCAGAATCAACATAGCCATTTATAATTTGCTGGAAATTCCCTCTTTTAAAGGTTAATTTTAAATTCATTGAGCCTTTTAAATATCTAAGAACTCTTTTTAGATATTGCCATAATTCCTTGTTATTTTTATTTGAATATCTACTCAGAATATTAACTGCTATACTCAAGTCAGGTCTTGTACAAACCATTATGTACATTAGACACCCAATGAGATTTCTACATGGTGCATCATTGTCTTTATCTAAATTTAAATTTATATAATCAATTTTATTTGGAAGAGGTGTACTTATAGCATTACAATCAGACATATTGAATTTATTTAAAACTGTTTTAATATATGCACTTTGATCAAGAGTAATGGTATCATTATTTCTTTCAATTCTAATTCCAAGAAATAATTTAATTTCATTCAAATCGGTCATACGAAATTGTTTCATTAAATAAGTTTTGAATTTATTCATAGTTTGAATATTAGCTGTGGCAATTACTAAATCATCAACATAAAGAACAACATAAATATTTTCTTGAATGTTGCCTTTGTTCAAAAAATAAATACAACGATCAACTGATGAATTTTCAAAACCTTTTTCAAGCAATGCTTTTTCAAAGGTTTCAAACCAGCATCTTGCTGCTTGTTTCAATCCATAAAGTGCTTTGTTCAGTTTACAAACTTGATTGTTTTTATGCTTGACACCTTCTGGAACTCTCATAAATATTTCTTCTTTTAATGCTCCATTTGGAAAAGCAGTTTTAACATCCATGTGATGGATTAACAAATTATATTGATTTGCAAAAGCTAAAATGAAACGGAAACTTGAAATTCTTGCTACGGGTGCAAAAGTTTCATCATAATCAACTAAATATTCCTGACTAAAACCACGTGCTACTAGGCGAGCTTTATATCTTATAGAATTTCCAAATTCATCATTCTTTATAGTGAATAGCCATTTGCAATCTACAATATTTTTACCAACTGGCTTTGTTACTAGAGTCCACGTTTTATTTGTTAAGAGTGAATCTATTTCATCTTTGATTGCTTTTTCCCACTTCTCATGATCATCTCTATATTTAATTTCATTGAAAGTTTTGGGAATTTTGCAAACTATAGATTGTGCACATAATAAATGATCTACCTCCTCATACGAAATTCGAGGTTTGTGGTTATTCCTATCACTTCTTCTCAGATTTCTTACTGCTTCTTTTTCATAATTCTTATCATTATGAGAATCAGACTGATTGTGTTTACCTGTTTTCTTTACAGATTTATTTGACTTATCAAATTTACTACTTCGACTTCTGTCAATTTCAGGCTCTGAATTTTCTTCTTCAGATTCATTTGCATGATGAAAATTATCTGATTTCTCTTTATCAGATTTCTGAGACTCTACTGATTTTTGAAGACCACTAAGTTCTTCATTAGATTCACTAAGATTATCAGTTTCATTAGAGTTTTCACTTATAACTCCTAGTCTCATTTCTGGCCTTGATGCCAAGAAATTACTTTCATCAACTATCACATCTCTCACTACAACAATTTTATTCATTTCTACATTCCATACTTTATAACCGTTCGGTTCATAACCGACTAATATTCCTTTCCAGGATTTATCATCAAATTTCGCTTTTCTTATTTTATTATGTACATAGACTGTACTTCCGAAAATTCTCAAATATTTTAACATTGGCTTCTTACTATGCCATAACTCATACGGTGTTTTATTTTCTTTTAAAGCTTTAGTTGGGATTCTATTAATTAAATACATAGCAGTCAAAACTGCTTCTCCCCAAAAGACTTTATTTAACTTAGCACCGCTTATTAATGCACGAGCCTTCTCGGTAACTGTCCTTACCATTCGCTCTGCAACACCATTCAATGATGGAGTGTATGGAACTGTCAAGTGATAGCTTATGCCTTTTTCTACACAATAGTCTTTCATCTCATTTGATAGATACTCTCTACCATTATCGCAGTATAAATTTGAAATCTTTAAATTAAAGTGTGCTTCACTTTTTGCAACGAAATCTTTCCAAGCAGAAAATACATCTGACTTATAAGTCATGAGATATGTAACGCAATAATGCGTGTACTCATCAATAAACATCACAAAATAATTTTTATTGTCAACCGTTGACGGAGTGATCGGTCCACATACGTCTGAATGAACAATGAACAATGGTCGTTTGATATGATCCTTATCTTTCTTCTTTTGAAAAGGTAATCGTGCTTGTTTTTCAAAAATACAAGCTTCACAAAGATTTTCATTTGGCATGATATTATTAATTAATTGCACATCATCGACCATCTGTCCAGTTTTCATTTGTAAAAATTTCGTTTTTCCCACATAACCTAATCGATTATGCCATAATTTATAATCATTATTTATGGCCAAAAAAAAAAAAAAAATTCAAATAGAATTAAAATTTAGAGAGAAAAAAATCCCGATCCGCCCAGCCGGGATTCGAACCCGGGTCTCCCAGTTACGCGCCGGGCACTCTTCCAACTGGCCCCACAAACTCTTTTGTTGTTAATTTTATTTACATTAACTTTAAATTCCATCACGTACAAATTATTTGTGGGCTTACCGGTCATGATGATTTTACCATTTTTGATTATTTCAACCCCTTGTGGATTGAA